ATCTTCAGGAGTAGCTTCAGACTCATCAAGCTCTTTGAGCTCCTTTTCAAGAACATATTCTTTGTTCTCAAAACGAAGAGCCATCTTGATGTTGCGCATCCAATCGTTATAATTTGAGCCATCCATAACGACTTTGGAGCAGATATTGAGCAAAAAGAAGTTCTGGTTGGAGGAGGATGAAGCAGAAGTGTTTCCAGGAGTAGACATCTGAAAAGAAAGAAAGTTTTAGTTAGATTTCAAGATACCTCAATATAATAACCCAAAGATAAAATATCAAGGTTAGGATCCAACTATGAAGATTCACAACTTAGAAATGGGATGCCGAGATCCAAGTGTAAATTTCATAAAGGTAGGTGAATGACGATTCACCATTCCACCATTAGACGAAACAAACGAAGTGAAATTCCTAATTCTTTTGAGATACATTGAAACTATTCAATGGCATGTTTTGATCTCAGATTATGCTCTTCTATTTGTGACTGGGATGCCGAGGATCACAAACAAGATGTGAATAACCATGCAAATGTGCTTGGTAACCTCATTGTCTTTATCATTAACTATTGATGTGCTGGTAAACCACACACGCTCCATCAAAATGACAATTATGAGATACCCATTACTACTCTTTATTAGTGCCCTTTAGTGTGCTGGTTAACCACACACGCTCCACTAACGACCAATAAAGCATAATGTGCAATTTCATGGATTAGCATACTTTTCACATTTTTCCTAAAGTAACTAGAGTTGGGATTTTAAAAATAATGTTCTAGTACTTTCTTTAATGTCATTATACTTTTAATGAGAAGTAGTTGTCCTATCAAATCCGTTCTGCTAACGACCCTCCACTAATCAAGGAAGCGGTGGGTGAGAGTGGACACCCATTCAACTACCATTTTATAGGCAGTTTCCTTATACCCCCCTTATAGATTAGCTTCGTGAATGAGGCATACTAGCGATTTGACTGACCATATTCTTATACATATATAATATTAAACTTTTAATCATAATACATATATAGGGGGTGTTTTAAAACATTTTAAAACTTCAAGGGTTTATATAAATTTCGAAATTCAAACTATTAAATTTAAATTTAAATAAACCAATTAACTAGATTTAATATTTATCTTTTAATTAACTATTAATTAAATTATTAAATCTTGTAAGGATTATCTAATTAAATTAATCAATTAATTTAATCCTAATCCTTATCCCTCTAAATTTCGAAAAATAGGGTAAGGATAATTATCCAATTAATTTAATTAAGTAACAATTATCCAAAACAAGAAACCCTAAAACTTCTAGCAATTTCGAAATTTACAAGGGAGGAGGCTAGGGTTTTCAAAACCCTAACCCTAATTTCGATTAGGGTTCTTTGGAGACTAGGGTTTTCGAAAAAACCCTTTTATCCAAAACCCTAGAAATCGAAAATTTGGCCTTTAGGGTTTAATAGCTATAAACCCTAATTTGCAATTCAACAATTATAGCAATTCAATTTAAAACAAACAATGGCTCTGATACCACTGATGGGTATTAGGTAAAACAAATAAACTAGAAAACAATTCCTAAGTTCACATGCAACCTACTTTGGATCTATGTTTTAACTATTGAACATATAACTTTGAATTGCAAAACAAGAACCCTAGAGGAGAGAGGCTAATTTCGAAATTAACAAACTAGGGTTTAGGAGTTACATACCTTTCAATTGTTATAGCAAACAATTGATAATCCTCTTGATCTTGATCTTGATCTTCTTGGAAGCTTAGCACCACAAATGTAATGCCTCTAATGGAATCACACCCAAGAACTAGCAAGAAGGAAACTTGGAGGAGAGAAGATGGAGAGAGTATGCAATTTCGGCCTTAGGGTTTCTTCCAAAGAAATCAATGACCTCAAATGTGAGCCAGGAGGCTCCTTAAATAGCTGAGGGATCTAGGGTTTAGGGAAAAACCCTAGTTATCCTTTGCTTAGGGCCTAAGCAAGATCCAAAGGCCTTATTTGGACCCCTTGGACGAAATCTCTAGGGTTTCCCCTAAGAATTTCGTCCACCTCCTTCCAAGGGGGTTCTGGAACCTTCCACTCAACTATTAGTTAATTGCAAACTAGTCCCTGCACTTTATAATTAATTCTTTTAACCCCAAAATTAATTCTGATTAATTTCTGGCTAACTATTAATTAAACATAATGATTTCTAATTAATATATTAATCTTTTAACATATTAATAAATCATTTATATTAATTCATTAATCTTATAAATTAATATATCTCCTTTCATAATTTCCTTATCCAGTTGCTAGGTTGAGGGCAACCCAAAAGGACTGTGCTGCTATCAATTCAAGTACATACCAATTATAGTTATGGGCTTAGACACCTAATCCAACAATAACATCTTATAATGAGGGTATTTTGATCTTTTGATAAAAACATGAAGAATGAAATTGAATTCCTAGCGCATGTCGAGTTTCTAAATTGCAAAAAAAAAAGTTATTTTCTATAACTAATGGTCCTATATACCCTTCAATAAAGACAATATAAGGACATCTTGTGGATCTAAATTGCCATGATTGGAATAATCAATTGATAGGCTATACTTTTGTGGTTTGGGCTAGGCATTCTAATGTATAGGTCTTGGTAGGATGTTAGAGTGTGTTGTGGTGGTTGTGGTTTGTTAGTGGTTGTGTGCGGCCATACACGTGTGTGCGGCCGCACACGTTGTGTGTGGCCGTACACGTGTGTGCGGCTGCACACTTGTGTGCTGCTTCATGTGGTATAAATAGGCTGTGTCAGTGTGTCAGAAAGAGTGACGTATGTGTATGTGTTTCCCAAGGTGTACCTGAAATTTATGCGTAATAGATGTGTGCATGCTTGACTTAATTCTCCTTCTACTCCTTCTACACTCAGTTTGATTGTTTGCATTTCAATGATTACTGATTTGGATCTATAGATCGGGCCTTACATCAATTAAGGTGTAATTTCTTTTTTGTTTTTTTATTTTATAAATATTACATATTCTCCATCATATCATTTCACATTTAAGTGAGTACATTGCTATTAGAGGTAATGATATGTAAGTATGCTGCTATTATAGTTAAAAAGAAATCATAGAAATGGAAGTAGATCGCTATAATAAATTTAAATATTGATCCAGCTAAAATTATTGGGACTGATTAAGCTATACATTTTCTCTTTTTACAGGTATAAAACTGAAGTAGCTTATATAAAGATTGGATCTGGTTGACACACGACTGAGGTTGTGATCAAATCACGGGTTGCTGTTGTTCAAAGATGGTCTAAAATTTGGAATAATGTTTTTCTTTTACAATCTAAATCTCTTATATTGGTTTTAAGACAGATTTACCCCTGTTTTTAGTAATTTTAAACCACTATAAATACTTAATACTTACACCTTTATGATAATATTTTTTTAAATAAACCCGTGTAGTACACGGGTCTCACACCTAGTTATTATTATAATAGATAAATGTAAACAAAGTATAATTATACCATTTGCTTAACTTAGAGGGTTGAAGTATTTAGGTGTAAAACTGTTTGGTTATATAGTATTATACATAAAATTCCAAATATATATATTTGTAATTGTCGGAGCATATTATAATCTTGTTAATTAGGTGCCTATAATTGCTAATTATTAGAAAGCTAAACCATCTTTTATAAAAATATTTTGTATCTGTTTAATGCATCTCTAACAATATTAATCTTGGATTTAAATTACATATACTATATATTCTATATATAGTAGTGATAACAATAAAAAAATATGACAAATGAAATTGCTAAATGAGAGTATTTTAATGATAACACTTGTGGATTGCGGATCGAGATGACTAAAACAAACTTTATGTTTTTTAGTTTTTTATGGCAACATATTTTCTGATTTTCATTTTTTACAGTATATTCTGTATTTTTCATTTTTAATAGTAAATTTCTTTTATGTCATTTTGGACAATTATGGTTAATCAATATTAACCGATAACCAAAACTATTAACCGAAACCATTATAAACCAATATCTAATGGCTACCAAAATACATTAATTAATTGTAGTGGTTATGGTTCCGTTCTGGCTAATAAGTGAACCAACCCGTCTCATACACACCCTACAAATTTAATAAAGTTTGATGTTATAATGAATAGAATTGTATAGAAAATATATAACCATGATGTGCCAATATTGAAGATAAGCTTAAATCTTTAATTTGGCTTCCCAATCATAACACATGTTATACGTTTATAATATTGCATATTTTGGTTATTGAATGAAGGAAGATTGCGTATTTTATTAAAACAAGCAACCAACCATCTCGTTACCAAAACTAGAACAGAAAAAATAAAAAATGGTTTAGAATTAACCAAATCTAGAACAATGTAATCTGAGTGGCCGGCAAGAGCAGATTATCTCATGAAGCTGTAGTGACCTGTGAAGAAGGTAACAAACAAACTGTTCCGTCAATTGACATGCGCCAGGAATTGGACATAGACAGCCTTAGTTAGGGAACATCAATCTAAAGATACCTTTTTATCATCCACAAGGAGAAAAGGAAGATTGTCCACTTATCTTTGTTACCGAAGATAACTACATAATACGTTTTACCCAAGTTGGTTTGTATAGGTTAAGGTAAAACCGATATATACTATCTAGAGATGACTCCCTTAGGTTTTTGGGTCACTATTATTAAAATTTAGCCGATAAAAGAAACTTATAATCTGTTGCAAGTTTTACGGGTTGGAGATTGTATCAAATACACTTTGTAATTTCTCAATACTCTTTTCTGACTAAATTTAATGCATCAATACGTATTTGTGGATGAACCACCCCTGTCAAAGCTTAAATGCATCAGAAACATGGCTGTCATTGTCCTGAAGTTTTTTTTTTCCCTAATCTCAATTCATTGATATAAGGGCCACAAGATACAGGAGATGTAGTACACAGAACGTGACAAATCAAATATATTATAATTATTCACAATGCTGCAATAAAACAACAGCAATCAAAAAAGCCTTCAAATCTCAGTCATTTCTGTCTATAAAACTGAGCTGACTAGGAAGAACAGAAAGCACCAACCACTTGCTAGAAACTCACAATAACACTTCACTAGAAAATCATGGCAAAACCTCATGTTGTAGTCATACCATATCCCGCACAAGGCCATGTAATCCCCATAATGGAGCTTGCTCAACGCTTAGTCAAGCAAGGTATCAAAGTTACATTTGTGAACACAGATGTCACTCACAAGCTTGTGACAAGCAATTCGTTTGACAAGAATGGGTTTGGGGGTTTAATGCAGATGGTTTCCATCCCTGATGGGTTAGAACCATGGGAGGACAGGACTGACCTTTGTAAGTTGAGCAAATCCATATTAAGAACCATGCCTCACAAGCTGGAGGAGCTTATAGAGACGATTAATGAAGACACCAGCAGTAAAGTCACATGTATTATTGCTGATGGTTTCATGGGATGGGCAATACGAGTCGCAAAAAAGATGGGAATTAGTAGAGCAGCCTTCTGGCCAGCCTCGGTTTGTACACTGGCCTCCGTGATCAGCTATCAGAAATTGATCGATGATGGAATCATTAACGTGAGACCATAGAACATGCATGATTATATATATATATATATATATATATATATATATATATATATATATATATATATATATATATATATATATGAAAAAGTTCAATAGAGAACCATAATTATTGGTTCTTCAAGGAATCAAATCTTTTTTTCAATTTCTAGAGCTTATTCTTTATCGAAAAAAAAAAATTTGATATCATTGGAAAAAGGATAAAAAGTTATGAATTTCTGTATATATATATATATATATATATATATATATATATATATATATATATATATATATATATATATATATATATATATATAAACAAAAGATTTGCGAGATCTTAAGAACTTCTAATCCACTCATCATTTTTCAAAACCGAAAACACCAATCTTCTCCAAATGGTGTGTCGAAACCATATCTAGGTTAAAATAAGATTTGACGATTTTTTTTATTCATTTTGGAAATGTGTATGTATGAAAAATCAACAGTTATATGGATTGTTGACGAGCACAATCAACAGTTATATCATTATATGGACTGCTGATAAGCACAATCAACAGTTATATAAAATGCAGATGTACACAATCAGTAGTCATAACTGCTGATTGTGCATGTATGCAGTCTATATAACTGCTGATTGTGCTCATCACCAGTCCATATAAGTGCCGATTTTACATATCCGCAGTTTATATAATTGTTGATTGTGCATAAATCCACATTTTCAATAAAAAAAGAGTTCGTCAAATCTCTTTTTGGACCATGGATTTGTCATAATCGGTGATCTAGGAGTCTGTTGGTGATTTTGATTTTGAAAAATTATGAGTGGATCAGGAGTTCTCAAGTTCTCATAAATCTTTTTGGTTCTCAAATGAACTTGTGTGTGTTATATATATATATATATATATATATATATATATATATATATATATATATATATATATATATATATATATATATAAGCCTACTCTAAAAAAGTTATTCAATACATCTTCAATCTTTTATTACAGGCATGCCTCTAAACAATGATCAGATGATTCGGCTGTCAGAAACCATGCCACCTATAAAATCTACTGACCTCTCATGGGCGCGCTTTGAGGAATTTTCAACTGTAGAAGCTATTTTTCAAGTTGTAAAAGAAACCGTTGAAGTTTCTAGATTAACGAAATGGTTTATATGCAACTCCACTCCCGAGTTGGAGCCTGCAACATTTAGCCTCTATCCACAAATGTCGCCGATTGGTCCTTTGCTGGCAAGCAACCGAATTGGTGACCAAGCAGGCCACTTTTGGAAAGAAGACTCCACCTGTTTAAAATGGCTCGATCAACAACCGACATGTTCAGTCATTTATATAGCATTTGGGAGCTTCACCATTTTCAACCAAACACAGTTTGAAGAATTGGCACTTGGTCTAGAACTTAGCAACATACCATTCTTATGGGTTGTGCGGCCAGGCATGACAAAGGAGACTACAACTGCTTTCCCAGATGGGTATGTGGAAAGAGTAGGCTCTCGTGGAAGAATTGTGAGTTGGGCACCTCAGCAGAAAGTCTTAACTCATCCTTCTGTAGCTTGCTTTGTGAGTCATTGTGGTTGGAATTCTACTTTAGAGGGTGTTACAAATGGACTCCCTTTCTTGTGTTGGCCATACTTTGCTGATCAGTTTCACAATGAAACTTACATTCGTCACAACTGGAAAACTGGACTGGGGTTTAACAAAGGTGAAAGAGGCATTATCACACGAGGAGAAATAAAAAGTAAGGTAGAGCAGCTGCTCGGAGACATTACATTCAGAGTGAAGGCCATGGATACTAAAGAAAAGGTTACAAGCTCTATTAGAAAAGGAGGTTCCTCACACAAAAATATTAGCAATTTCATTGAGTGGATACAAGAGCAATCTAAATATGCCCAAGAATATTCAACATGACAATATATTATTTATAAAGGAGTTGGCAGGGCATTTAGCACCTTAATTTCAAGTTTGATGTTCTAAAGTATATCTATATTTGGGGAGATGTGTTGATTCAACTTATTTTATGCAAACAACTTAAATTTACTATCATATTTGTTACTAATGTTACTTTTCTTTTCACTCCATCATTGGTAATTACAGCTTAATATGCAACCTCCGCAACCTTTCCCTCCTGTCTCGATTGTCACTCATTTCTACAAAGGTTGATATCTGATGTCTTTTTATATTCGGTCGATTTTTTCTGCCACTCAACGAGTTTGTATTGTGTTAAAAAAGTATATGAATGTTGTTGCTTTGGATTGATATTTTGGGTGAAAAATATACATTGTTGTTTTTAGTTATAAAACCTTAGTACGTTGATATTCTAAAGAACATGCAGTAAAACTTTAACATATATTCTGACATAATATTCCACTAATAGCTTTAATATTTAACATATGTGGAAAAATATTGGTGAATGGATACCTGAGTAATGCTTGTGCCACTACTGATATTTCTTCTGAACCGATTTCAAGGTAGAAGAAGAAAAGAGAACCGGGATGACCAATGAGCGTCACTGATCCATGTCAGCCCTGACTATATAATTCCCTTACTATTGCTAACTTGATCGTGGGAGCACCGTCCGTGTAACGACCCAAAAATACTGAGTAAAATTATCATTTCAAATAAGTCAAAACCATTCATTCATTATCCCAAAAGACGATCAGAGTGAAAGTATTCTCAAACATCAGAGTGAAATCATAAACAATCATTGCGGAATAAATCTTCAGGGGATGCAGTGCGATCAAGTCAGGCCCCTCCTTTTGAAACCAGAAGTACCTGGAAACATTTTAAACATAAACTGTCAGCACAAAGCATAGTGAGTTCCCCAAAATACCACATACCATACTAATCAGTGGGCCCAACCCTAGGGTATATTCCAACCCAACATACAATAATGAGCCTAGCCCTAGGGTTTCTTTCAACCCAAACATACAATCATGGGCCCATCCCTGGGGTTTATTTCAAACCAATCATACAATTATGGGCCCATCCCTAGGGTTTATTTCAACCCAATCATACGAACATGCAAGAGTCACAAGGACAGCTAACATCCTACATAACACAAACCAGTGGGCCGATATTGGTGCCTTCGACCCATAAGTACAGTGAGAAGACTCACCTGAACTGTTCAACAGAAGCGCAACAGCTACCACAACAATAGGACAACCAACCCAAGCTTCATAAAGCCAAAATGAGACAAATCCTTAGTAAAAAACTCAATTCTACCCAAGTTTGACAAAAATTTAAATTGGTCAAAAAGTCAATGGTCAAAGCCAAGGTCAAAATTGTCAACAACATCCCTCCACGTTGTGGCCTTCCTTGGCCACGTCGTGGGGACAAAATGCTTCGCTGATTCGACACGCCGTGGCAACCTAAGGCCACGCCGTGGGGACTGGCCTGAACAATTCAAATGAGCTTAATCCATTTTCTTCCGATTTCAAGATCTCCAAAGCATATATCTGATCCTATCTAAGGTCTTAATGGATAAAGTTTCTAACTTTATCCATTAGGAATGTCGAAACCACCAAGATCTAGACTTTAAGTCTCAAAGGGACCCAAAAATGCATCTTTCTTAAATTAATCCATTAAATCCATGTCTCCAAATTTAAAATCTGAATCAACAAAATGTATAGATGGATAAAGTTTCCAACTTTATCCATTATAATGCCACAATCTTTCAAGATCTAAACTTTAATACACCAAAATGGCCTAAAGGACGAAGATAGCTTGCATGGCAAAAAGGGAAGGCAAAAGATTATAACTTTCCTAGTCCATGAGGTCCATGAAGCATTCTAAACTGATCCAAAGATGTTGGAGTCCACTCAACTCCAAGATCACCCATAAATGGACCAAAAGTGAAAAAACACCAAATGACAAGATCTAAAGAACTAGATATCAAGATTGGAACTTTATACTTACAATAATTCAGAAATGTAGTGTCTTTGATGGATCTAAACTAGAAGAATCATTCCTTGCAACCAAAAGAGGCTTCTTGATCTTTAACTTCATTAAAATATTGTGACAACCCGAAATTTTCGTTTGTATAAACTCCGCAGTCAAGCACATCAAAAAAAATATAGTCAAATTCACCCCAGTACATTTTTGGCCGGTTTTAAGTCCGTTTGGGTGTTTTTATTTTAATTTTCGTCAAACGATCAAATAAATGGAAGTACCCGTTAGGAGTGTTGTGAAACAAATAAACGATTAACACCTTGACTAGGTGTTTACGGCCAAACAAGGGAGTTTGGGCCGTAAACTCCCTTTTCCCATGAACTCATGCATATAGCATGAGTTTACCCTTCACTCCTCACTTTTCATTTCCCACCTCAAGAACACTCAAGATTCTCTCTCAAGTATCATATCACATTTCTTCAAATCCGCCAAAAATGTAAGTGTTTTCTTCCTAAATTCGAACATGCAACACTTAATCTAGTGTTTTTACATCATTTCATCCATGGATTCTTCATTTTTCTTAGATCTTCAAGTGTTCTTCAAAACACCAAGAACACCAAGAACACACACTAGTGTTCTTGGCCCTTAAACACTCTTACAAGCCTCATATAAGTAAGTATACTCCTCCTAGCTAGTTATTTGCGTAGTATACTTGTTAACCCATGGGAAAATCATCAAGATCCCCAAGAACATATGTGTTTACGGTTTGGGAATCTCCCAAAACCGTAAACACCCCCAAATGGGGTTTAGGTGCCCCTAACACCTTCTATGGCTTGTATAAAGGACTAGAACCTTGCATCCATGAGCTAGAAACACCAAAACACGGAATGGTTGGGTAACCATGAGTTTACGGCCGTAAACTCATGGGTTTACGACCGTAAACACATGGGTTTACGACCGTAAACTCCCAAGGAGTGGTCCAAGGACCGTAAATTCCAACAAAGGGGCATTTCAAGCCCTAGTCACTTCCTAAGCCTTGGATTCGAGTCTAGCTTACTTCCTTGTGTTGGTGTAGGACCTTAAACACCCAATGACCCCATTGCCATGAGTTTACGGCCGTAAACTCATGGGGGAAATGGTCCCAGAACCGTAAACCCATATGGTGCTACCATATGGGGGGTAAACTCCAATGTGAGGCCATACCCTCTTAAGATGTAACCCTTAGCACTCCTAGCACTTGAAGCAAAGTGTTTTCATGTATTTGAGTGTCTTTACTTGCTTAATTAGTTATTAAATGACTAATTAGATATGTAAATGTATCATTGCATGCTCAATAGGATCCGCGTGTGTGTTCAAGTCCTCACTTGACACTTAGCATCCTATACCACCCGTTCATCCGAATCACCCACTACAGGTGAGTTCATACCCCTTAATCAACCTTTTTAAATGATTTTAAATGCTTTTATGGGGGGGGGGGGGAATACAAGTTGAACTACAAAGTTATTATATCAACCATATGTGATTAATAACTGCATAGCAAAAAGATTTCTGCATGCTAAACTGTTTTATCCAGCTAAAGGTTTCCAAATTTTGTTTTCAAATCTCTTTTAAAGTACCAAAATCTCTTTTAAATTACCAAGCTTTTATCAAAGTCTTTTAAACTTATATTCTTGATAGAATCATGTCTATATAGATATAGTTATATAAGTAGGGTTTGAAGGACTTAGGACTGATAACCCGCTTTATTTCTAGTTCCTTGTTTGGTCGTGGACTTAGAGCATCCGGTTATTTGTCCGAGTGTCGTTGAAGTCCTAGTTATATATTATGTATATCTGGTTAGATGTTAATACTCTTATTCCAGTTCAACACCTTTGGGTAGCAAAGGCATCTAGATAACTTCTCGAGTAAACTATAATAGGTATAGTTTAGAAACCAACCATAACTTTCATGAAGGAGAACTTAGTTATATCTATATTCTAAGAACTTGTACTTATAGTAAAAATAAAAGTATATAGAAATCAAAACACGAGATACATCCTCATGACGCGGATTTCACCGTTGTCGAGTGGTAACCAAAGTCTCCTGGAGGGAGAGCGGGCATTGTGTGTATAGATCTATACGGGACAGACCATCCCACATCCTGACTGCTAGCTACAGTCCCGGCCGACCAAGCCAAGGGGTGACAAATGTCACATTCATTTCGACGCCAGCAGGTCGTCGTGTTTACATCCGTCAATCAGTATGGTTACGAGTATCTTTACATTTACCTTATAATTCATGGCTTTAAGGTAATAAGTATTATCACAATATTTTCTACATATGAAACCATCATAATATATTTTCCTAGTTATACACTAGGCCTCATATTAAACCTTTAAACTGACCTACTTAGGATTAAAGGTTAACTTAGACTCTCCGAGGCGTATTGTTCACTTAATACCGCCTGGAGTCTGTATTTCATTCACTTAGACTCTCCGAGGCGTATTGTTCACTTAATACCGCCTGGAGTCTATACTTCATTCCCTTAGACTCTCCGAGGCGTATTGTTCACTTAATACCGCCTGGAGTCTGTATTTCATTCACTTAGACTCTCCGAGGCGTATTGTTCACTTAATACCGCCTGGAGTCTATACTTCATTCACTTAGACTCTCCGAGGCGTATTGTTCACTTAATACCGCCTGGAGTCTGCATTTCATTCACTTAGACTCTCCGAGGCGTATTGTTCACTTAATACCGCCTGGAGTCTATACTTCATTCCTTTAGACTCTCCGAGGCGTATGGTTCATTCGATACCACCTGAAGTCTATGTTTTATTCACTTTTAGTCAGCAACGTTACTGCTGAGGTAAAATAGTATTTTCCCTATTACTTTTGCTTGTGATCTTCTCACATATTCCTTAAGGTATAAACTATATTTTGATAATAACAGTTACCTTTGGGGGAAGTTACTCCTTAAACATAAAACAATTGGGTCTTGGTAGAAGACTACTTTTATTAGAAAATATAGGATTTTCTGGAAAGAATTCTAATACTCTGTAAAATCATATCACCATTGTCTAGTGAGATTATTTTGAAGAAAAACATGTATTTATACCAATGTCATTAAATACTTATGAACTCACCAGCATTAAAATGCTGATACTCGCTTTCAAAATAACTTGTATTCTCAGGTCATCAGTAGACAGGTACACTCCGGGAGCTTTTGCGAAATCAGCCTAGTACCAAGCTGCAGCTTATGTTATTTCCTATATCTACTTTTGATGTTGTTGTTA